TTTTAAAAAAGAAAAATTACAGTGATGCTTAAAAGTTTATGATCCTTTTAGAGTTTTCAATATTTCTGCATCAATATGGTCTAAAATAGCAATAGCACTTAGCACTTATATACCGCTTCACAGTGCTTTACAGCCCTCTCTAAGTGGTTTTACAGAGTCAGCATATTGCCCCCAACAATCTGGACCCTTATTTTATCAAGCTTGGAAGGATGGAAGGCTGAGTCAACCTTGAGCCTGGTGAGATTTGAACTGCCAAATTGCAAGCAGCCTGCAGTCAGAGAAGTAGCCTGCAGTACTGCATCCTGACCACTGCACCACCATGGCTGAGAGGTATGTTCTTTACACAAGCCCTGAAACTAGTTCAGGACTAAACGAATGACTCATAAACATTATACTTATTCATTTATTTATTGAGAAAAATAATCCAAAACAACATATTTGTCTCCAGAAAAGGGGTTCACAAACTTGAAAGCTTTGCTGTACTTGAGATATGCCGGAAAGCATGCTGATTTTTCTCCATGCAATCTAGATGTGTATGAATGAGAAATAGTGGAGAAGGATGGAGGGAAAAGGAAAAAAACTCTTTTTCCCTTCCCCCATGAAAAAGTCCAGGTAAAATTATATAAGTGTTAGGACAGAGAAGCTGACTTTATTTACAGTAAAGTCATCAAATGGTTTAGTTGTGTTTAATGATAAATGGAAACATATATTTTCACAGGTTTTTTTATTAAACTAGCAACAGAAGAAGGCTCATGTGACAAGCAAGAGTTTTAGAACCAGAAAGGAGCAGTAAATCATGGGGTGTCCAGTGTCTGCTGAAATATTAAACATACAGTAGTTATAAAACCCTGAACAATGGTGTGAAATGTATTTAACAGACGTAACCACAAATACATACAACACACCATGCTTCATGCAACCATGTCTTTGACTTTCAACAGAAAATGAAATGCAAGGTGCAAAACAGCCAATATGCAAGCACAGTGGAGGTAATTTCTTCACCGTGATATTTTGTAAATGTCTAACGAACAGTTTCTTCAGCAAAAAGCACTAGAAAAAAGAAGCCAATTAAGCATAGCAAAGAAAATATAGCCAATGCATTGAAGTCAGCTTTCAGCTGTATAGAAATGAGCTCATTATCTCAGTTGCTGTGTAACTAATGCACAAAGGACCAGCCTAAAAGAAAACTGACCAGTGCCAAAATGAAGCTGTTATGACAATCTTAAGGATTATTGCTTTGTAGATGGACCACTGAGATTTATAAATTGATACAGCTGGTCATTCAGTTTTTTCTACAATATATTTTATTAAGTTTCATTACAAGATGAAAATATGGAGGGAAAAAACAAAAGTTAGAAAAATGAGAGAAAGGAAAAGTGCAAAGATAGCCAAAAAAGTGATGACTTCCAACTTTCTTCAGTGCAGAAGGATGCAAAAAAAAAACCACCAAAAAACACCACCCCAATCTCAATCTTTTTGCTTTACATTTTACAACATTTCAGGCCATTTCTATCATTACAAAATTATCAAAACCTAAAGTCAAAGTTTTGAGCAAAAACTCCAGAAGTAGTTTCTAAGTAGAAGCAAAGCTAGATAAATACTTTTCTTTAATTAAAACAATTGATTTTGCCATCTCCGCTAACTCCATCTTCTTTACCACCTACTCTTTCATTGTGGGAATTCATTCATTCATTTGTTTGTTTGTATCCCATGTTTATTATTTTTACAAATAAATTCAGGCAGCAAACATAATCAACACACCTCCTCTTTCTATTTTCGCCACAACAGCAATCCTGTGAGGTAGGTCAGGCTGAGAGAGAATGACTGGCCCAAAGTCACCCAGCTGGTTTTCATAGCTAAGACAGGAGTTTCTAGCCTGCTGCCTTAATCACTAGACCAAACTGGCTCTTGCTAGAATTAGTGTGTCTTTCCAGCTTTGTCCATATAAGATTCTCACCACTGTTAACATATATAATAACAAAGTTCCAAATTTTCTTTCAAATTCTTGGTCCATCTAACCTAAAAGGAAAATTTCTTCTTTCCATTTTATATATTTTAAGAATCTTCTGAATTAAAATAAAAATCTGGTGCTCATTCATTTTTTTTTAATGGGGAAAGGCATTATTATTTAAATGTTGAAGAGGTACTGTAGAACTATGATGCCTGGTGAAATTAAACCAGTGTTTCTCAAACTTGACAATTATAAGATATGTGGACTTCAACTCCCCAAATTCCTCATTCCCCATATCTTAAAGTTGCTAAAATAATTGAGAAACACTGGATTAGACCAATCTATGGTTTAATAGAGATTTTCTACATAATGGTTTTGTATCTTTATCAAAAGATTGAGCCAGTTGTCTCACCTCTTATCCTTAGATTGAATGAATCCCATTCCCTGGCTAAATTTTGAAATTTGTTTCCAAATCCTCTCAAAGAACCTTGAAGTTCTCTAAGTAAGAATTTACTTTAAGGATCCATACTTCTCTGACAGTGGGTGTTTCCAATTTTTCTTTTAAATAAGGATAGATTATGATGAAATCAGTTCCAAATCAGGTCAGAGTCGGCATATTTGGATCCTTAATTGACTCTATCTTGTACCGTTGGTGGGATTGAGAAAGATTTGGATTGAGGCAGGAGATAAATCCCATAAAGAAATGAATGAAGAAATAAATACATGCTCAGGGCAGTACTATGGATGGCAGCAGGGAGGTGTGTGATTATATCACCTTCTGCTTTCTAAACTCTAGCTGCTGTGTTTGTGAAGTATTAGGAGGCGGGAAGCCACATGAGGTCTTGCACGGACATAATGGTCATGAACTCTACTGATGTTTCTAGAAATGTTCCCTTTTGTAACTAAGTTTCTGGCAGCATTACAAATACCCTGTGGCTGTTTTGCAAGCATCCATTTTTAAAAATAATCCACTTTACTGCCATGTGTCCTTTGTTTTATCTTGTAATTGCTGTAAGTGCTGGCTCTGTTATGTCCTTCATATCTATGTGCCTCTCAGAAAGTGTCTCTTGTGCCTCCTGAGAATGCATTACAAAAATGAGTCCAGGTCATGTTCTCCAAATCCTGTTCCCTGATAATGATTCCAAGGAAGAGACCATCTGAATTGGGCCAGCAGCACTCGGGGGAATGAAAGAGGAGGTGGAGAATTTGTACTGCAGCATACAACTATGGGCACATCCGCTGGCTTAAGAGATACAGAATAGCAGTGGTGCTGCAGATTTGGTTCTCAGATACGGTAAAGAGCGACAGTTTTATAGAGTTATTCGTCTTTAAAATGTGTAAGAATACACATTTGCATCAGCAAGAATTGCTGATCCTTCTGCTGAGTATGAGTGGGAGGAATTTACATAAGGTAAACTTAAACAGAATGGCTGAATTATCTTTTTAAATGTTTCAGTTTTAAAAGTAGCCTGGATGTATGCATGTTTATTGTGTTCAGTGAAGCTTGCTCATTAGTAATAGTGGTTTGGCTCACTGTTAAATCAGATGTTTAAAGGATAAACTTGCATTAATAGTGGGGCTGTGCAAAAGTATTATAGGGTGGTTCGGTCTGAACACAATCCAGTCAAATCAGTCTGTCAACGCAAATATACAAGTGTCAGTCTTGCATGTCAGATGTAGAACCATGCTGTTTTCCTCTGGCCATTTCTTTATCTCTCAAATAGTCTTCTATGAATCTGGAAAGGATATTTCTAGCATTTTACTTCAAGTGCTAAGACAAGCTGGATCATCTCCAACACTTGAAGTAAGGGGCCAAAGGGGATAATATAAATGTTTTACCACCCTAATAAATATTTTAGTTTCCTCAGAACAAACTATAATAGGGGCTTGTTTTAAATTAAGAGGATGTGAAATGAATGAATGAATATTCCATGGTTTTCCCAGTCACAATTCAAGCAAGAAGAATGGAAGAGAAAAAGATTATGTGCAAGCCAGCCCTACAATGAGGCAAAGTATGACAAAACAAACACAGGAGTGTCAGTGTTAGCACCTGGATCCACAACCATTGCTCCTGAAACAGCATTCCAGACAGTGGTGGGATTCAAGTAATTTAACAACCGGTTCTCTGCCCTAATGATTTCTTCCAACAACCAGTTTGCCAAACTGTTCAGCAAGTTAACAACCGGTTCTCCCGAAGTGGTGCGAACTGGCTGAATCCCACCACTGATTCCAGAGCATGTGTTTGAGATTTTAGGTAGCCTTTTTTCACAGGGACAGGAATTAACTTGCTGCCTTGGGCCAAATAATATAACAAGTTTTGTTTTCAAAGAACTAGCAGATAGCCCAGAGTGGACTAGAGTGGGTGGCCATAATAAATTTAAGCATAAATAAATCCAGGAAAATCTTTCTTTAATCCCCAGAAACAAACCTCGCACAATTATCTGGAAAAAAATTACCTCTCCAGCTTTGGATATCAAACTGTGCATATTCTAAATAATTTTGTGTACTATTTTTATGGATTGCTTTTTAATGGACAGCGCTCTTCAGCTAGCGTCATAATAAAAATGAAATTATTCATAAGGCAGGGTAGCACTTCTGAAATAATTCAGAAATGACCAAGTAGCACAAATGTGATAGCTGCCTGCATCTCTGCATTGCACAGCTTTTTCTCTGCAGCAGGCATGTTCCCCTAGAACAGAGATCTTCAAACTTGGCAGCTTTAAGACTTGTGGACTTCAACTCCCAGAATTCTCCAGCCAGCTGAAGTCCACAAGTCTTAAAGCTGCCAAGTTTGAAGACCTCTGCCCTAGAAGAAGACATGGCTGCTTCAAAGAGTTGCTGACAGGTTCTAAATTTGTAGCCATTTAACCACCAAAGCACTTTTTTGCGATCAAATCTAAAGCACTGTACAATCCTAAATGTCATACTCATTTTAAAATAGATATAGATAAAGATATAGCAATAAACAAGAAATAAAGTAAACAGCAAAGCAATACTGTATAGCAGGACAGTGAGCACAAAAAGTTACAAAAAGAAATAGCATGCTTACCCTTTTTACTGTACGCATGATGGAAAATGTTGGTGTTTTTTTTTTTTTACTTTCCTTTGAACATGAAGAAATATGACTTCTGAATTTTCAACAGGAGAGTGATTCAAAAAGTAATACCAGTAATTAGAAAGGGTTATAAATAGAGTTGTATTATAAAGTGATCCATAAAGCAATAGAATAACTGACTGAAAATATTTAAGACTTTCATCATCTTAAGTGATGCCCTTTTTGGTAGCTTTTATATCTATAAATTTCCCTCTAGTAGTTCACGTAAATAAAAAGCATCAGTAACATCAATATAGTACAAGACATAAAACACTCTCAAGAATAATCAGGAACCTCCAAGTCTAACTACAGTTTTGGGGTCCAATGACCTTTAGAAGTTAGGGAATTTTATGTTTCTTCATAATATGATTCTTGTCATGAACAAACAGGCTAATATCTACTACTGATTGTGAGATTATTTTTGTAATTGTAATCCATCATGATGGTTTTGAACTGTGAAGATCTTTAAACTGCAAAAGTATTAGGAGTCTAATGCTGATATATTCTTTCTTTTGGGTAAAATTTATTTAGTGATTATTTAGTTTTACAGTGTTTATACATCGAGTCTAGGTTAGGCCTGAATCTTAGTTATTTGTTCTTTTGGGCACTGGGCCAGCACCTTAAACATAGGCAGGATGTTGTTGCTATTATTTTTATGCTATATATTATTTAAGATATAATCTTCAATTCAATTCAATTCACAGCCTTGGACAGGTAAAAGCTTAATAGTTCAAGTCCTAATCAAGGACCTAAAAGCTATTAAAATTGCGCCTGAGTATATAGGCAGTTCCGAGTAGGGTGTTTTTTTTGCAAAGTTAAGATATTCAGGTCTAATAAGTTCAAAATTTGCATGTATCTAGGCAGCCCTTTGGGTATTGCTCCAAGGACTCCTATTACTATTGATTTCTTCCTCCATAGTTGCTCAACTGCAATTTCCAAATCACAATATTTTTGTTATTTTTGTTATTATTAGTATTGGTATATTTTGTATTATTTTCATTGTCTTTGATGATGAAAAGATAAACACTCTCATAGAGATGTATTTATTATTAATGGTCTTCAGCTTCAGTTACAGAGACAATTTGGTATAGTGTAGGCACCAGCCTAGAAACCAGAAGATGCTGAATTCTAATCCTGCCTTAAACTCAAAGCAGGGGTGAAATTCAGCAGGTTCTGGAGAACCGGTAGCAGAAATTTTGAGTAGTTTGGAGAACCGGCAAATACCACCTCTGGCTGGGAGGTGGGATGGGAATGGAGATTTTGCAATATCCTTCCCCCAGGAGTGGGGAGGGACTGGGGGTTTTGCAGGATCCTTCCCCTGCCATGCCCACCAAGCCATGCCCACAGAACTGGTAGTAAAAAAATTTGAATTTCACCACTGGCTCAAAACCAGCTGGGTCACCTTGAGCCAATCACTCTGTTTTAGACCTAGAAAGTAGGCAAGGGCAAATCTCTTCTGGAAAAAAAATTGCCAAGAAAACTGCAGGGACTAGTCCAGGCACCTTCCAGGAGGTCAATACTGACTTGAACATGCATTTGCACACATATATACACCTACACATAGAGAGCTTCAGTAAATATTCTAAACTTTTTCTTTTCTAAATTGTCTCTTTCAGCAGGGATAAAAATAGCATATCAATGGCTGCAAATATGAACTCCATGTTTTCTTTTAGTTCTAGTGCTTTAAAATTCTTTGTGGACAGCTGCGCAGAACATGCTGGCCTGCCAGCAGAGACACTTTTTCCATTAGCCAAAGTGAACAACCAGAGAGCAGAAACACAAAACAAGAAAGCCATAAAGTTAAAATCTGCTCTTCTCTTGATTCTAAGATTATTTGAGAATTGAGATGTGCTGAAAACACAAAGCAGTCTGCTATGTGTATATCTGGGGTCATGTGACAAACTTATGCAGAAAGCAGTCACAAAAGACATATGCTCTAAAATGAACTCTAAAGGCTTTAGTCTCAAAAATCATCGGCCATGCTACCACCCGCCACACTCGTGAGTTCATGGAAGCCTGGCATTCCACAAGCAATTCCATCAACAGGCACATTGATCTACAACCAGCCTACAAACTCCTCAGAATCCAAATCAACCACACAGCCAACCAGAGACAGCATCAACCCCCAACCAGCCCATGCCCCCCCACCAGTTCACCTCCCAATGATCCTGACCTAATGTAATCTCCTTATCCCAAGACCCATCCCAAGACTCACTGATGACTCCCAGCTGACCCATCACAAGACCCACAAGACCCTCACTTGACACATCCACACCTGGAGCCCTTATAAACAGAATAACACTCTGACATCCCCTAAACTCCACTGAAGATGTTACCTAGCCTGGTAATGAAATGTTTGGAAGCCAACCCACAAGCTTGGAGAATGAACCTTCACCTTCATCCTACACCCGAGCTACAGATATTCACCACTATTGCTTTAGTTGCTGTTTAAATAAGGTAAGAGTCTTTACTCAGATAGTAAAATGGAAGAATCTCTCAAAGTCCACTACAGACATTTTTGCTTTGTAATATCTACAAAATATTACATCACTTCTTAGCATTTACAATGAGCTATAACAGCTCAAATACTCTGAAAACTGTATTGTGCCAGGGAAATGAAACCCCTTAGGAAGCATAACACTCACTGGATAAAGAGCCTTGGTAGTAAAGTAGTAGTAGTAGTAAAACACCCTGTTATTAAGACCAGCAGCCTGCAATTACTGCAGGTTCGAATCTCGCCAGGCTCAAGGTTGACTCAGCCTTCCATCCTTTCTAAGGTAGGTAAATTGAGGACCCAGTTGTGGGGGCAATAAGCTGACTTTGTATAAATATACAAAAGGATGAAGACTATTGCTTAGCACATTGTAAGCCGCCCTGAGTCTCCGGAGAAGGGCGGCATATAAATCAAATTTTTTTTAAAAAAGGCATTGACTACCTAAAATGAGCCTCACATTATTAAATTTTGCACATGCATATTTAGGATTTGTTTTGCTTTAGAAAGTTAAACTCCAAAATGGCCTTAATGTTTATTATTTCATATGTGTATTCACTCTAGGAACTTCATGGAGCAAAATATCGATAGTCACATCAAACATACTTCCATGGTAGATTTAAAGGTCAGGCTAATGTTCTTTAGAAGGGACAGTGGCTCAGTGGCTAAGACACTGAGCTTGTTGATCGAAAGGTCGGCAGTTCAGCAGTTCGAATCCTTAGTGCCGTGTAATGGGGTGAGCTCAGGGGTGAAATGCTCCCAGTTCGGATCAGATTGCCCGATCCAGTAGTGATGGAAGTGGGTGGTTCGGAGAACCGTTAGCAAAAATCCCTGCCCCCCCTCCCATGCCCAGCTGAGCCACACAATCATCAGAGGGATTTTTTTTACTTTTAAAAGCATTTTTTCTACAAGCTCTTCGGCTGAAAAAATGCTTTTAAAAGTAAAAAAAAAAGCCTCTGATGATCGCGCGGCTCAGCTGGGATCGTCAAAGGCTTTTAAAAGGAAAAAACCCCCTTTTTTTCTTTTAAATGCCTCTGGCGATCCAAGCTGAGTTGCCTGATCAGAGCCTTTTTAAAAAACTCAGCTTGGATCGTCAGAGGCATTTGAAAGCATTTTTTTACAACCTCTTCGCCGAAGAGGTTGTAGAAAAAATGGTTTTAAAAGTTAAAAAAAATTGGCCACGCCCACCCAGTCACATTAAACCCCCACACACACACCAAGCCACGCCCACAGAACCGGTAGTAACAAATTTTAGATTTCACCACTGGGTGAGCTCCCGTTACTTGTCCCAGCTTCTGCTAACCTAGCAGTTCGAAAGCACATAAAAAATGCAAGTAGAAAAATAGGGACCACCTTTGGTGGGAAGGTAACAGCGTTCCGTGCGCCTTTGGCGTTAGTCATGCCGGTCATATGACCATGGAGACATCTTCAGACAGTGCTGGCTCTTCGGCTTTGAAACGGAGATGAGCATTGTCCCCTAGAGTTGGAAATGATTAGCACATAAAGGTAAAAACCTTTACCTTTTTAATGCTCTTTAGGATGTGCTGGGACATCCAAATATTGAAGGAAGAGAGTCATCATAAGTTATGGTAGCCAAAAACTGGGGATCTTTTCTTTTCAAACAAACGTATTTTATTACAAGGCATAAATTTGCATGAGCTATAGATCACTACATCAGATTCATGAAGTGGCTAAATGTTTGCAAGGTTTAAACTGAGATGATATGTAAGGGGGTGGGGGATGAAGACTGGGTGGTAATACAGATGCATGTGAGACAGATTCCTTATCAATTAACAATTGTAATGTGTTAAAAATTGTTTTTGTGAAGACCTTCTGAGATTGCCTGAAATCTTTTGAAGTATTCTGACTTCATCTTAATTGTACTGTGAACTTCTTTTCTTCCAAAATAGTTACTTTAAGATCTCTAATGGTAGTTCTTGGGAAGGAGAAATACTGTGATATTGCATTATCTTTCATTTGAGTCCTGATCTCAAATGTGTGTAATTATTTTGTGCAAAGTTTGCTTCGTTTGTCTTGGGCCGTCATGGGCTGATGGTTACCTATATCACCTTAGGGGAAGAGAACACATGAAGATGACTCTAATTTTGTGTGTGAAGATATTGAGTATGTGTGATGCTGCTGTTGATATACTGTAAATGTAGAGGCAAAGTTTGGGTTTGTTGCAGAATCTGGTTTCATTTATTTATTATTTATTTGTTTATTATTTATTAGTTCAATTTATATGCCGCCCTTTTCCAGAGATTCAGGGCGGCTTACAATGCATTAAGCAATAGCCTTCATACTTTTGTATATATCTGCTTAGTAAGGCTTTTGGCCCCCCCCTAAGCGGTATTCTTTTTTATACAAAGTCAGCTTATTGCCCCCACAATCCGGGTCCTCATTTTACCTACCTCGAAAGGATGGAAGGCTGAGTCAACCTTGAGCCTGGTGAGATTTGAACTTGCAGTAATTGCAGGCAGCTGGTAGCCAAGTACTACTTTAACAGCACTTAGTCCACTGCATCACCAAGCTCCTTTAGCATCATCATTCTGTTATTTCTTATTGCTTTTGAGAGTCTGCTTCCCACTGAGTTACGTATATGCAAGGATGGCTCTGCCACCCAGTGCCTGAATCTACCTTGTGTATTCCAAAGTAATTGTTGAGTAAATGGTGCTCCTTACTTGTTCAGCACACTGATTTGCAACCTTAATTTAACTGTTGCAGCAGTAGGATAATAGATTGCTCCCAGTGTTTTTCCCATTAAGAGAAATGGAAATGAGGATTATTAGTGTCATGTAATACAAAACTTCCAGAGAGGTATAGTTGCTCAGCAATAGAGAAATATAATTTCAAAATAACTTAAAAATTACTCTACTTGTAATGGTGCTGAAGAAAAAAAATCCCATTTTTTTCCTAGCCATTTTTTCTTCTAGTTGATGACATAATTGATTTAGAATATCTTTCTTTGTGGGGGAAGGAGAATATCTTTCTTTGTGTTGGTGAAGCTTTTGTTGGTGTAATATAGTGTTCTTGCAATTATTTGATAATGAAATGCTAGGGCAGGGGTGTCAAAACTCACGGCCCGCAGGCCAGATGGATCATGCACTGACCACGCCTACCCCAGGTTTAGCAAAGGGGGGAAAAGTCACAATATATCACATGATGACAACATGACAATGCGAGTTTGACACTCCTGTGTTAAGGGATATTTGGGAATGGCTTCTCCTCCATTCTGTCTGGCTTCTTCAATTTGATCTCAAAGAAAAGCATTGTGAGACAATTCCTTCCACTGGGGAATAGAGTTACTATGGTTGTGTGTCCTTCTAAGGTATAATGCCAAATGTCCAGGCCTTTATTGTGTATTCCATTAAAGTTTCAGCCAAGTCTATGGCAGAGTTCAGCTGGTCTGTTCTTAATAATTAAATGCAGATTAGGCTGCAATATTTTGCAGCACAGCATGTTCAGAAAAGCAAAGCTACTAGTGCAAAGAACTTCCTGTGGATAAAGCAGCATGACTAAACCAAAAGGAAATGTGTTGGGGACAAGATCAGTAGCTATAAATTGCCTTTCAAGAGCTGGAGATGTTTCTCTGAGAAGAACAAAATACTTTCAAGTGTTTCTATGGCAATCCTGTAGGAGGCTGAGCTGTATCAAGCCTTTTATCACGTAACAAGATGGAAATTCCCCAAGATTAAATTTTTTCATTCTCCAATGTTCAACAGAAATATATGAAATTGAAAGAATTCACAAGGGACCCCTGTCATATATAAGACCTTACTATCAGCATGTAACATAAAAAAAATAAAAAGATGGATATACCATTTAAATCTGTCATCCAAGTACTCCAAGGTTACTTTTGGTTTTTTACCTCATCCCCAGGATGTTTTAGTTTTCTTCTCCTCCTCCTCCTCCTCCTCCTCCATGTCTCTTCTACCACTGTGAGTTTGGTAGACAAAAAAGAATGTATATGTTGAAGAGATCTTTCATATAAGAGACAATGAACTATATTAAAGCTGCACTAATCCTTTGGAAGAGGTACTTCACAAAGTGTATAGCCTATGAATGAATTAATAGTTTTACTGTACTCACTGAGCATAGTATTTTGCAGATAAAATTATAAATTCCAAATAAATAAATACAGAGAGTTTTACACAATGATAATGCATAAAATACAAAGTATATGCTAATAGTGTCACCCAAAATAGATGCTAATAGTGTCACCCAGAGTCACCTTGTAGGGGAGATGGGTGACCTAGAAATTTAATAAATAAAATAAAAGTGAAATAATAAGAACACACATAGATCAACAGGAATGAAAATACACATCCAGTTCAGTACATTTTTGTGCTATTTTATATTAACTCACTGTTAAGTGCATTGTAAGCAAAATCTTAAGATTCTAAAAAAAAGATATATCTGAACTGAAAAAAATGTTTAAAAAAAGTAGCTTTGAAGGTTCTCCTGCACATTCTGAAACATCTTTTTCAAAGGATCTATATCTGCATGTCAAAGCTGAGGTGGCACAGTGGTTAGAGTGCATTACTGCAGCTACTTCAACTGACTGCTAGTTCAGCAGATCAGCAGATCAAATCTCACCGGCTCAAGGTTGACTCAGCCTTCCATCCTTCCGAGGTGGGTAAAATGAGGACCCAGATTGTTGGAGGTAATATGCTATTTAGTATACTGTCTTTGGTGTAAGCCGCCCAGAATCCTCGGAGAGTGGGCGGCATAGAAATATGAAAAATAAATAAATAAATAAATAAATAAATAAATAAATAAATAAATAAATAAATGATCTACATCTAAATCTAGCTCTACATCAGGGGTGTCAAACTCGATTTCATTGAGGGCCGCATCAGGGTTGTGTTTTACCTCGGGGGGGGGCAGGACGGGCTGGCCAGGGTGGTGTGGCCAGCTTAACGTCACTCGTGTCGGGGGCACATGTGGTGACCCGAATGCTCTGCCAGTGAAAACGGGCTCCCAATCTTCATTTTTGGCTGGGACAGCCTCTGCCAGAGAAAATGGAGCTTGCAAGGACCACATGTGGCCCTCCTGAGCTCTGGTTTTGCTGGCAGAGTCACCATGGTCCTTTGCTGTTTCCAGGGCAACTCCATGGGCCAGATCTAAGCACCCCATGGACCAGATCCGGCCCACAGGCCTTGAATTTGATACCCCTGCTCTACATGATGTCATTTCTTAGTATAGTATTCAGACATTTCAATGAACATGCACATAAACTAGAAGCAAAATTCACCTTCCCCAAATTACTTGTCTTTCAGATATGTTGACTTCAGCTTCCAAAATGCTGACTGGGGAATTTGGAATGATAAATTCCACATACAGATAGTTCTCAAATTACAGCCACTTGTTTAGTTACTGTCTGAAGTTACAGTGGCATTGAAAAAGGTGATTTACGACTAATTCACATACTTACAACTGTCACAGCATCCTTCATTATTGCAATGATTCACTTAACAACAGTGGTCATAAAATTGCTGTAACTCACTTAACAATCACCTTGTTTAGCAGTGGGAATTTTGGGTCCAACTGTGATCATAAGTCGAGGACTAACTTCTTTGGCTGCACAAGGCTGATAAAATATTTCCAGCTATGCAGATAGCTTAAGTTCTAGAGATGCTCAAGAAATGAAATTAAATTGAGGCATGACAACTACAGTATACAGTATAGAGACTATGCTTTGCCAGGGAACAGGGGCAACAAATAGGGATTGCCTGTATTAAATAGGGACAATTGGAGAGTATATTTTTGTAGAAATTAATTATTGCTTCACTGCATTTTTGATTTAAAGCAACTTATTCTGAATTCATAAGCATGTTTCATAGCAGAACTCATGGCATCTATTTTCTGAGACAGCTATATTTAGTTTGCATCTGCCAAAGTTCACTATCTTGCTTTTTTAAAAAAAGAACAGATTAATGCAGATGCTCTTTTTTCATAGCTGGGAGGAATCAAGAAGTGCATGTGTGTGTGTGTGCGTGTGTGTGCGTGTGTGTATATTTTTAGCCCAACATTTGAGCAAGGAATTGTGATCAAAGCAGCCTATAGGAAATAGATGGGCAGATAGGTATTTCATATCCACCTTCCAGAAAGAATGATGCTCAAGGCATTAGTGCTTCATCAGTTTAACATTCCACATAAATACAGATCTCTAGATCTCTATTTCCATATTTCTATGTTGCTCAGCGTTTATGGAAGATGGGGTCTTCATCTTTTCACAGAATTAACATTTCCAAATTTCTGGGCCTTAAACAAACAGGTCTAAATTGACATGACCTTATTTTTCTACGTACCTATGTTATATCCGATATATGTGAAAAGATACCGAAAGGTTATATAATCTCATATTTGAAAGTGAAGGTTCATTCTCCGAGCTTGTGGATTGGTTTATGAATGTTTCATTACCAGGCTAGGTAACATCTTCAGCGGAGTTTAGGGGATGTCAGTGTTCTGTTTATAAGGAAGCCCTTATAAACAGAAGCCCTTATAAACAGAACACTGACATATCTTAAACTCTGCTGAAGATTTTACCTAGCCTGCTAACAAAACATTCAGAAACCAACCCACAAGTTTAGAGGACAAACCTTCACCCTCATCCTATACCCAAACTATTGATATTTGCCACTATTGAAATCCCATATTTACTTCCCCTTCCAATTAGGAAGGAAATGCTCTTTAGGTATTTGAAGCTGCAGAAAGATGCAGTATTACAATTATCAATATCTCTGCTATGTCAGCTGCTTTGAAAGAAACTCATCCTTCTAACAAGCTGTCCCCTGTTATGGCTGCAGACCAAATGGGCCATTCAGCCAAAGAGCCAGCTGAGTGGCAGCCAACAAGTACAGCAGCCAACTATGGTAGGAACTCACAGAGACCACTGTCTTTGCAACTATCACCAGGGCAATAGTCACAAGTAGAGTGACTTCCTTCCAAACTATTGAAATATCCAAAGCTGAAGAGCCTTGAAGAAGTTAGAGTTTCATAAGAAAAAGCCAAAATAAAGATAGATATTATCACCAAATCCTTCATTATAGAAGCTGTTGCCATATATCACCCCAGAGACTACAGAAGACATAGCAACTTTTATCTGCCATCTTCACTGCCTTATATTAAACTCAGTGATTTGAAAAAAAACCAGAATCCCATTGTACAGTGAAGCAAAACTTCAGCACTAAATGAAAAACTAGTCGATAACAATTCAAAGTAAAATTAATCTTAATCAGTACAGCTTTGAATTTTTTTTAAAAAAACAGGAGCTATTCAATGCCCTTTTTGTTGGCATCATTTCAAAAAGGCGGAATTTTTAAAAAATCCTGCCATTCTGCTTTATTCCACATTTGGTCATAGTTGCAGTTTCAGTGCAAGCAGAAGCTATGAGTTTAGGACAACTCATTGATCATGGATCTTCAGGGGAAGTGTAAACCCATCTAGAGTCAATATTGGAGCTAATAATCAGCCAGATGGTTTCTGGAGATAGAGCATCCTTATGTTGTTAGGATTTAATTTGAGTTTGTTTTCCTATCCAATTCCTTACAGCCACTAAAAAACATCTAATGTATCTCTAATACAGTCCAGGATGGAGATACATTGCTGGGAATTATCAGGACATTGATGATACTTTAAGGATGATATTCCAAGGGTTCTTTTCCTGTTAACATTGCCTGAAATTGCCTGCTCATAAAGGATGGAGCCACTATAAAATGGTCCATTCTATCCTTCCAGGTTGTCCAAAAATATGTTCAATAGTGTTGATAGCTGCTGAATTTAATAAAACCAGGAGATCTGTGCTCCTTCATTCAGATTCCCCAAAAAGTCATCCACCAGAGCATCCAATGGCATTTCTGTTCTGCACCAGCTCTGAACTTGGAGTGAAAGGGATGGAGATTCTCTATAGCTGATGTCCCAGATCCCTCTCTGAAGTCTTCCCAAATAGGTAATATATGGGAATAGGCAGATATAACCTAGTATAGATGGATTGAAGTATGGATGCTTCACTGCCATTTTTCAAGGCAGGTTCAAAGTGGGATCTAGAAGTTCAAGAAGGGAAGTTTTGATCCATACACAATAATTCCCAGTTTTTCCCTATAACTCAACTTCAGAGGTAGGCACCAAGTCCAGATATTGTGGACCACAATATCTTAGAGCAGCCAAGTTATGATGGGGGATCATTGTTACCCAACCTCTCTGGCCTTCAAGTTGCAGATACTGAAAAGACCAAAATCAGAGGGTTAGAGAAGTGGTTTCAGAGACGGATTTTTTTCCATGCTCATTGATCCATATTTTATTATGCATGTTCAGTCTGCATACTTCTCTGAATTGTGAAGAAATAAGATCTTACTACATACGGACCTGGCATTTAGTAATAGCAGCCTGAAACTAAGACATCCAGCAATATGGAATCCCTGAGATGGTAACAATTAGGTTAAAAGAGGGAACTGACACAAATTTGCCCATCTTCCTTCTTGTGTGTGAGCTTTTAGAATAGAATAGAATAACAGAGTTGGAAGGGACCTTGGGGGATCTTCTAATCCAACCCCCTGCTTAGGCGGGAAGCCCTATACCACTTCAATCAAATGGTTATCCAACAACTTCTTAAAAACTTCCAGTGTTGGAGCATTCACAACTTCTGGAGGCAAGTTGTTCTACTGATTAATTGTTCTAACTGTCAGGAAATTTCTCCTTAGTTCTAGGTTGCTTCTCTCCTTGATTAGTTTCCACCCATTGCTTCTTCTCCCACCCTCAGGTGCTTTGGAGAATAGTTTGACTCCCTCTTCTTTGTGGCAGCCCCTGAGATATTGGAACACTCTATCATGTCTCCCCTAGTCCTTCTTTTCATTAAACTAGACATACCCAGTTCCTGCAACCGTTCTTCATATGTTTTAGCCTCTTTTAGCCGAATTAAAATGTTTAAAAATAGTATTCTGTCAATAAATAAATAAACGATGCATTCTTTCTTTATGTAGCATTGATTTCCATTCATGAATGATTTCTCCAAATGAAAAAGACTTAATTATAACATACTGTAAACTGGTGCACTAAGTATGTCCCATGAGCAGAATAAAAGGAAATGTATAGACCACCGTATGATTAATTTGGGCTAATGCACAGTCTTGACTCACTGTAAATATCAGAGAAATTGCAGAGATCACCAACATAACCAAGTCAGCTAAGTTTTGGTTTCAGTATAATGGTGTGTCCAACCTTTTATTCACTTCACTGGAAACTTTCTCGATTTAGAGGAATCAGTGGGAATTGTTATGCTATTTGTAAATATAAATTCGGTTTTTAAGAAAAAATGTCTTATGCCACCAACTGAAACATACATAATATCAAATAATTCAATCTCCAAACAATCTAGATATCAAACATGTATATTAAGGCTATTCAAACAGACGTTAATTGTGTTGTCAGTAGTGAGTCACCAGAAATCATTCTTGTTTTGCAGATAAAGAGTTCAAAGAAAAATGAATAGTTTCTCAAAGTAAACAAGCGTCTCTGTATGTCATATTAACATAGAATTACAAATAGTTTTACCAAGATTGAAGTGGAAAATTTGGGAAAAGCAGAGCAAGTTTTAATTAGCTCTCCCCTGTGTGGTTTCTTAATTTGGGAAGTAAGTTAGAAGTCAAGCAGCAAATTTTCTTTAGAGAGAAATGCAGGCAAACAGCATCAGCTGACTATGAATATGGCAACTTCTCAGCATTGGGAAGAAAAACAACAGTGGAAGTCCCTTAATTGTTATCTTGAGTCATCTATACATTTCCTTCTTTTGGAAGACATGACGGTGGGGGAAGGGAGCTTATCAAATAACAGTATTAAGGTAAAGTTCCAGCGCCAATTTTATCTACTTCTGAACCTGAAGAGAGAGGTCATAATATTTCGTTCTCTCTTTCATGAGGAAATAAAATTTATTGGGATAATCTTGCTCACAATCCCGCTCAGTTTTCTAGTACAGTATCTCTTGGAAAAATTGGTACCATTCTGAAGTACAGGTAGTCCTCAATTTATGACCACAATTGAGCCCAAAATTTCTGTTGCTAAGCGAGACAGTTTTTAAGTGAATTTTGCCCCATTTTATGACTTTTCTTGCCGCAGTTGTTAAGTTAGTAACATGGTTATTGAATGAATCTTGCTTCCCCATTTGCTTGTTAGAAGGTTGCAAAACATAATCATGTGCACCAGTGGTGGGTTCCAACCGGAGTTACCACCGGTTCTCTTTGTGCACGCGCTTTGCGTGCAATCGCCGCGCGAATGCACACTTTGCTCGCACGCATGCCGAACTTGCGCTCCACGCAAGCGCGTTAGGTTTCTGCCCAGCTGAGGTGTGGCATTCCACTCTGCCGTGCCTATCAGCTGGGCTAAAAAAGAAGAAATAAAGGTAGGAATAACATGGGGGTGGGCGGGAGGGCCCAGCTCCCAAACAGAGAACCGTCACCGCTACCGGCTCGGCCAAACCAGGCCAAACCGGGAGCAACCCACCACTGATGTGAGCCCAGGACATGGCAACTGTCATAAATATGAGCCAGTTACCAAGCATCTGAATTTTGATCATGTGACCATGGGAATACTGTCATGGTCATAGGTGTGAAAAAAGGATATGAAGGTTTTTTCAGGGCCATTGTAACTTTGAATGGTCACTAAACAAACTGTTGTAAGTGGAAGACTACCACAAAGAGGACTTCTCATAGAGACACAAAGATGAGGCAGAGCAAGCAGAGGTAAAATCAAATGATATGGAAGGAAAACTAATCACGAAAAAGCAAAGATGGCTGCTTTTGAGTTCAAAGTAATAGGGCGTTTACTGAAAGTACCGCTCTCCTTCCTCCCAATCTTTGTGACTCATCCGCTCCTCTTTTGGGTGCCATATTTCAGCAATCAACCCTTAAAGGTAATTATTTTATTTCACAGCTGGTTTTTCTTGTTGTGGCACACAGCTCACCTCACTTTTTTTGCCCATACTTTGTTTCTATTGCCCAGACTGTGTTTGTTTCAGCTTAATACTTCCATTAATTTAAATTGTAAGAGAAGATTTGTACAAACTTGGAAGTACAAAAATAAAGTTGCCAGATTTGCCAGATGCATTGAAAGCCCGATGAGGCATTCAGATAATGGCAGGGACACACAACCAACACCCCTAAACAGCTGCTTGCCAGTCTCTGGTTTCTAATCGTCTCAGTGCCTGCCTAAGCTCAGCGTTCTCAACTCACAAATGGCCAAACTCCATCTGGATGATTAGCAATTGTCACAGGCTGTGCCATGTTCTATTAAAAAAGCAATTTGCATGGTAGACACAAGTTGCAATCTCAGAGTTGCTGATGGACTCAGTTGGTGTTACCTGCCACGATTTTGCAGAAAAAACTAGGTCAGTGGTTGTTAGACAGC